GATAATAAACAAAGGAGAAAAGCTGAAAACAAACAAAAATAATTCCCCCCCACTCAAAAATTTTGGACATTGCTAAAAGTAACAGATATAAACATTGGGCAATGTATTTGAAATGATATATAACAAAATAGAGCATAACAACATACTTATTCATTATTATTTGTGTTATTATGTATTACCTAAACACCCAACGCTATTAAGGCACCAGCTGCATATCCAATTTGTGAACACTTCTTACTACTATTCTTCTTCTTTCAGCATCGGACAGGTGCTGTCATCTCTTTATTACAGCATTATCCATCAGTTCCAGTTAATAGGAACTGTTCTCCTTATCAACAAAACTTTCTTCTTTTTTAACAAAAATTCATCTAAAAAAATAAATATCTGAAAATATTTTGATGAAGGTTTCACGATGCTGAAGCCAATAAGTTGGAGATTTGTTTAACATTTTAAAGTAATTTTTACATAATTTAAATATTTTTTCGCTACCCAGCCCCTTATGCTTAGCAAGTATAACCTCTGTGATGCGGCGAGTTCATTATGACATTCCCCCTGTGTGCATGAAATCAAGTGTTTGCAAAAAAAATTTTTATCTTTGTAAAAATGATAAGTTCCCTTCCCTGAAGACGTACATGTAAAAAACAAACAAAAAAATCCACTTACATTGGCTGTAGGGACGTGGAGAAGACGCCATCCTGGGTCGCCCCTGCGTGAAGCTTCCATAGTCGATTGCACGGGCCATTCAGGTATCATGAATGTGTATCATGAATTTGCCACAAATATATTTCAAATTATTTGTTCTATGTATTTTCAATGCGGTTTTATTTGTTTTTTTTCGTATATGATGCATATTTGTGTCCTTTACAATATGTATACAGTAGAATGTTCATAGTGTTCCATGGAACTGTGATACATGTGTCAGTAATGTGTCCACAATAAATGTTTCTTGTCGCAATATTACTTCAAAAAATTATAATATGTACAGTTTCACACTCTATTTACACAGTAACACACTGTATTACACACTCAGCACTTCAGAAGTGAGTGATAATCAACGAAGTAGTCCATGGTACACAGAGCGACTTTTCTCTTGTTGCTCCAGGTAGTACTAACAGATTTTCGCTTCCTGTTTTTTCGTTCTGAGTGCTTGCAAATAACACACTCATGTACACCCTTGGCTTTAGTATCTGTAGGTGGTATGTAGCCAAGCTTGTAAAGCATAAGGTAGTATTGAAAAGATTATAGCAAAAGATCAATTTGTAAGGTAGTCTTGAAAAGATCGCTTTGTAAGGTATTTTGGAAGAGATTCAGTCATTCCGGAGGAGCTACAAGTATTCTGGAAGAGATTCAGCTATTCTTTTAAAGATCTATGGAAAATACCACCATGAAAGCTGCTAACACTGTTCATCTATGCTACTTGTATAATATGCATCATCACTGAACCCAGAAAACGATTCATCTATGTATCATCTATAAAAATTGGAGATAACACAGGTGAGCATGGGTGGCACTCAGCTACAACTGAATACGCTCGCTGTATCCTCCTCATCGGTGATGTATCATTTGCATCTGACCTTTGGGTTTGGTCCTTATTGTGCCTAGCTTGATCAATATCATGTCAATATCATGACCCTTATGTTTTTCAAACAATAAGGTCTGAATTTCACTGACGGAGAGCGATCTTTCAACACCGCGTCTGACAGGGGATTGGGATCCAGAAGAGCGTGCACCACCTTTGGTTGCTCATTCAGAATTGATCTTGTCAGCAGGCTTTTCTGCCTTCCAGCAGAAAAGCTGTCTGCTGGTGGAGGACCCAGAAGCCTCGGCATGACGATCAGGCTCAACCGCTTCTGTACACGCATCAAATGGGGCAGCCCCCGAAGTCGCCAAAGTCTCGTCCCGAGCTAAACCCTGCGCCTATCCTAAAACACTCAGACATTTGGGAGCTGGGAACAGGGGGAGGGGAGCAGGGTGATCCACGCCCACAAGGAAAGGAAGCAAGGGAGTGGGCAAAACCAAGGACGAAGCAACCAACACCCCTAATTCCGGATCCCTAAAACAAAAACAGGGGCAGCCCTGGAGCATCCAACTGGGCGGGTTGAAACAACAAAAACCTAAACTGCAACGCAGCCACTGCCTGATCCCTAACATCTTTCAAAGAAGAATGGGTAAGCTGGAGAACAAGTGTGGAACAACTTATGCACGACTCCAGGTCATAAGAGTCACTGACCCAACAAGCAGCATGACGGAGGTCGAACAGCCTGAGACCTGGAACTTCAAGAACAAGAGGTCATAGATTTAAACTAGCTAAACACAGATGCCGAAGAAATATAAGAAAATTCACTTTCACAAACAGAGTGGAAGACAGTTGGAACAAGTTAGGTGAGGTGGTGGTGGAGGCCAAGACCGTCAGTAGTTTCAAAGCGTTATATGACAAAGAGTGCTGGGAAGACGGGACACCACGAGCATAGCTCTCATCCTGTAACTACACTTAGGTAATTACAGAGGATCGTCACCCTGAGACAAGGGCAACAAACAACCTTCAAACTCACAAAAAGCAAGCGGGGGACTTGGAAGACATACATAGTCGCACTGAGCCCCAAGGAGTTTACCCAGGCCCCGCAGGAGTAGTATTCCCGATGGGGAGCCCAGGCACTGGTGAAGCTGAAGCCAGTTGAATCCCTTCTAATACCGGGAAAACTGACCCCAAAAAGCTATGCGTGTAACCTCGAGGGGCCATGAGTAGGACCACCAAACACCCTAAGCAAACCTAATCAGTAGCTAGGCAGACTGCCTCCAGGAAAATAAAAGAAAACTAGAAACCCTCAAAAATACACCACAAACAACGAGAGACCAGAGAGAGATGGCTGCCGTGATTATACAAGCTGTGCAAAAGACTATGCATCCCAGCCAACAACAACAACACTCCCTACCCAGGACCAGATGGAAAGCCCCACAACCCCCGCTGAACCCCAAGGGCGAGGCTAATGACAAGCGACTCCAACCTCAATGGGAGTGAAGTCCCGAACGTCCCAGGGAAAAAAACCCTGAATACACAGGGGTAATACCTACTGGGCGCCTAGGAAGGAGAACCCTAGACGCATACAGCCCGAGTATATTAAAAACACCTGGCCAATGCTCAATCCACACAGCAGGCACAACCACACAGGGTAAAATCCAGACAGAAGAATGAGGCCAATGATGACGTCTGTTTTATACGACATCAGTCGACGAACTGCCAGTGTCAGCGCTTGGCCGCCTCGGCAGGGTCCCCTCCGACAGTCAGAGCTTGCCCCCCTCCTTCCCCCTGAGTTGGAAATTTGCTTGTTAGTTGTTTTCTCTTGCAGGGAGTTCTTGGGCTCTGTTCGGTCTTGGGTTGCAATGTTTTACCAGTTGTGGTTTGTAATGGTCCTCCTACTTTTCTGGGTTATACTCCCTGTCGATGGCAGACATGACAATACTCTCACAAACTGGAAAAGGTGCAACAACATGCCACTAAGTGGCTCCCAGAATTGAAGGATAAGAACTACGAGGAGAGGTTAGAGGCATTAAATATGCCAAAACTAGAAGACAGACGAAAAAGAGGTGATATGATCACTACGTACAAAATAGTAACAGGAATTGATAAAATTGATAGGGAAGATTTTCTGAGACCTTGAACTTCAAGAACAAGAGGTCATAGATTTAAACTAACTAAACACAGATGCCGAAGAAATATAAAAAAATTCACTTTCGCAAACAGTGGTAGACGGTTGGAACAAGTTAGGTGAGAAAGTGGTGGAGGCCAAGACCGTCAGTAGTTTCTAAGCGTTATTTGACAGTGTTGGGAAGACGGGACACCACGAGCGTAGCTCTCATCCTGTAACTATACTTAAGTAATTACACTTAGGTAATTACAAAGTGGGGGGGGGTTTCATAAGTTTTTGCTCTCTTCGCCTCTCTGAGGGAACCAAGTTCTGGCTCGTGGTTCCTGGTAGGCAGAGAACTCCAATTAATTGATGCTCTATACTAATATAATGGATATCAATCTGTTAGCCTCAGGCAGCTGTAAGAGCTGCCCCCAGAAAGAAGTGATTTGACCATTATGTACAAGAGTAATTGACAAAACTGTCAATGAAGAATTCTTGAAAACTGCAAATCCATAAACATGAGGTCAACACATTCAAACTAAGAAAAGAGAGTTGATGAAAACAACATTAGAAAGTTCACTTTTGCAAACAGTGGTAGATAGTTGGAACAAATTAAGAAAGAGGGTGGAGGAGGCCAAAACCGTCAGTACATGTAGTTTCAAAATGACATATAACAATGATTACCGGGAAGAAAGAACACCACAAACATAGCTCTTATCCTGTAACTAAACTTAGGTAATTATACACAGAGGTACTTGCAGCTGAGGGGATAGTGTTCTGGAGTCGCAATCAGAAGGGCCCGAGTTCAATTCCAGGTTGAGGCAGAGTTTCTTTCACATGATGTCTCTGTTTACCTAGCAGTAAATAAGTACCAGTAAGTTAGACAGCTGGTATGGGCTGCATCTTGGGGATGTGTGTGAGTGAGAAATATGCAAATATGACAGAAGAAAAATAACTCTTGAATAAGTACATTAGACAACCAATGGTTAGAAAGGCAGGGTCCAAGAACTAACAGTTTGATCCTGCAGTTACAAATAGTAAATACAAAAAGGGTACAAATAGTAAATACAAATAGGGTACAAATAGTAAATACAAATAGGATACAAATAGTAATACAAATAGGGTACAAATAGTAAATACAAATAGGGTACAAATAGTAAATACAAATAGGGTACAAATAGTAAATACGAATAGGGTACAAATAGTAAATACACACATATATACAAAATTAAAATCAGAGCATAGTATGCCTGTAATGCACAACTTTGAACTTTCATATAACATGCCATTTTCCAGACATATTACCACCATATTATGAAGTGTCGACTGCACAGTAAAATATTTCTACAAGATTTTTTAATTATCTCTCACCCTGCCAACAAAATCTCCAACTCCAGGATTTGGAAAAGGTGCAAATTTGCGGTAGATGTGACCAATACGTGAACAGGGTGCATCTACCATGGTTCCTCCACACTGCCATATCTAAAAAAAAATAGAATGAAATAAAAATTAAGACATCCAGTGTGCACATAAATATTGTGACAATCAAAATCATAACGTTATAATTGAATGTGTAATGCAACCCCCTTTTCTAGTGGGAACTCAGTAGTTTCCAGAACTTTACTGCTGGTACTGTCAAGCACAAGCTAATCACATCAGAATCTGGCTTGCTCTACAAGACAGGCGGGAGTTTTAAGATACGAGACCAACCCAAAACTGAGAGGATACCAAACATAAAGCATTGCCCCAACAAAATAAGTGACTACTGGAGGGAAATTATTCACCCCAAGGTAAACGATGCTATTTGTTGACACCCAATACACACACACACATCTGAAAATAAAGAAGTGTGGATCTTGAATCTTGGGTTTTCTATGATATATTGCAAGCTAGAGTAGAGAGCACTCTGAAGTTTACTGGCCTAAGATTATGACAAAGATTCTTGGTTATACGAGTACATGCTTACAGTTGATACATGATAACATCAGATAATATTATTTTGCAGACAAGTTCCATTCCTTGTCTTATATATATTTAACTTAAATGGATGGTGGCAGCAACCTCCTTCTTTCTACTCTTCTACTTCTATCTCTACTATACTTCTACTTTTATGTCTACTCTTCTACTTTCCTCCTTTCTCTCTCATTCTTAATCTTTCCCTTTCCCCAAACCACCCTTTCACACTCCTCCCTCTCACCTCTCTAACTCCCACACCCACCCATACTTTCATTTTTTAATTTCTTTTCTTTCCAATTTCTAATACGTTACAACCAGTCCAGCCGAAAGGGATCGACCCCGACGGCCTCGCAGACGGGGAAGGGTGCCACATATACCAGAAGATGCCTCGACCAAGCTAACGTGAAGAGGTCCACCTCCGGGTGCCCAAACGTCCGGCAGAGCCAACGGAACGAGTCAGCGTCAACTGTCCATTCCATGAACAGGGGAGTGAACCAGAACAGGCCGTCCACCAGGACATTGGACATCCCCTGGACATGAACCGCCAGGAGAGAGAAACCCCGAGAACTCAGCAGACGAGTCACCTGAAGCAACCTGCCCCAAAGAGCCAAGGACCGCATCAAACCACCTCGGTTCAGGCAATGAACCACCAGGGAGCAGTCTGAAAGTAGCGAAATCACGTTCCGAGAGCGACACAAACCCTCCGAAGCGAAAAGCACACAGCTGCAACACCCGGGAGTTTGGACATGCGAGAAGGATGGACACAATGACCCTGGCCGGCCGGGTGAGCACTGTTCATAGAGCCTCAACCGAGAGACGATGCATCCGTTAACATATCGAGCGAGGGCTCAGCTAGGCGCCACAGCACTGAACCAAAAAAAACACAAAGAGGAAGCCGGCGACGCAGCAGCCAATGCAAGGCCCCCAGAGTCCAAACCCAGTGATCGCGAGAGCAGCGGAAGGGACGTTCCCGAATGAACCAGAAGAGCCCACCCCCCCCCTCCGAGGCCAGATTCGATCTGACAGCTAGAGCAACACGGCAAAGTTCAAACTACCACACAGCTCATTGAACAACTGACAAGTGACCCAGGTGCTCCCCAAAAACGGCCGAAGGTGGGATTGCACCCGCAGCAATGCCGCTGAAAGGAGAACAAGGAAGCGGTCCGAGAGTCCCCACACAAGACCCAGCGAAGTTCAAACCCAAGAGGGAACCAAATGGGACTGCCTCCAGTTCACCAAGAACCAAAATCCAGCGAACTGGGAAAGAACTAAATCCCTGGCGAGCAGACACGTGGACCAGCTAGAAGCCCAAACCAGCAAGTCGTCAAGGTAAGCCAGAACCAAAACCAAGCCAGAACCCAAACCCCTAATAAACGCAAACGGGTCACCATGACCCGTATAAGGCGTGTGAACATGTGAGGTGCCAGATTCAAGCTGAATGGAAGGTAAGGAAAGCAGTAACTGGCTTGGTGGCTTGGTTTTGTCGTGGGCTGACAAAACCGAGCCAGTTCCCGAACCCCGGATGAATCGGGTCGTGCCAATACGCTTCCTAGAGGTCGAGGGACACCAACAAAGCAGCCGGACCTGGGACAGAGTGGTCATCCGAAAAGAGGGGCAAAAGACCCCGGGGTTTAGACGGGACAAGTCCAGAATGACCCGCAGGCCCGTTTCGGAACTGGAAATCGGCGGGAAACCCACCTGAGGGATGCCGTCAGTTGACCACGCCCAAGTCAACCCACTCCGGAATGACCAGACAGAGAGAAGGCGAAGAGGCCTGCCCTGCCGGCCCAGATCCCTCCCAAAGGAGGATGAGCCATCCAACACCACCGCAGGCTGGAGGAAACACCACGAAACGCCCACGAATTATGGGACTAGGCAAGAGCCCCGTCAACGGGCCGAACCACGAAAGGGCCAATGACCCTTACAAGCGCTCGACAGACGCTCAGAGCGATCACTGCGCCGACCAGATGACGACAGCTCCGCAGGAGGGGCCGGCCCCGAATCTGGCACTACTGGCTTACGACGACCAAAAGAACCCCAAGCCCAGGCACGACGCTTCTGGAGAACCAACAAGTCCAACATAGGCTGGCAACTAGACGAGCCCGCCTGCAGAAAAAGTACCACCGCAGACTCTGCAAACAGCAACTAAGCCAGCTCTTCTGTTGCTATTTGCAACAAAAGCCAGCTCTAGCCTGGAAACCAGCACTTCTACATCCTCCTCGAGCCAGTCCAAAGACAGCTCCAGCAGGGAAAAGAAGTGCAAGACAAAAGCCAAATGTCCACGGGCATGCAAATCCTCAGCAATCACTGACGCTAAAAGGGAAGGGACCTGCCCGTGGCTGAAGCTGTACCTGACAGATATCGCGAGGAAGCACAGGGGCGAACAAGCACACTTTGAGGTACTCAAACTTGCCCCCCCAAGTAAACCTGAACAACCATAGTCAACTACGTCAACGCCCAACAGAACGCATGCCTTGCCCCAAACAAAAAGAAAGAGCAGTCTGCCAGCCAGGAAGACTCTGGTACCTCGTAACGCACCCAATAAGGAAAAGAGGAGCCAAACCTCAAAAGAAGAATCCATTATCGAGGCATAATCTGGGTTTCGCAGGAGGTAAACCGTAAGGGCTACCTGCACCTACCTAGGCAGAATGCGGAAAGCTGAAAACCTCCGGAAGAAAGGAACTGAAGAACCCAAGGGAACCCGGAACTGAACCCGGGGAAGAGTCGAACTCATATCAAACTCGTACAAGGAGGGGGGATAGGAAAACCCCTCTCCCTGTAGCAACATGTCCCACTCCGAGGGTACCAACACTCAAGCGGGGTCAAACGAGGCCCAAGCCCCCCAACTCCAAGTCAATTCCTCCCCAGCCACGGGATCCCCCACATCAGGACCCGGAGCCGAGCCGTCCTCCAAACCCTCTGCCTCTGGAGAAAAGACAGAGTCCACCAGAAAAGCTGGGATGAAGGGGGTCTGTTTGGGGGACCTGAAAGCCCCAGCAGGAGGAATAGGCTTGAATGCCAATGCTGCAAATCCAGAAGGGGCAGTCCCCGAAGCAACCCAAGTCTCACCATTCAGAAAACCCTGCCCTGATTCCGAAACCTTCAGACGTTTGGGAGCCGTGACCATCTGGCACTAGGCATTTGATAGAGGGGAAGCAGGATGAACCACAACAGGGAAAGAACAAGGGGGCGCTAACGAAACCAAAGTCGAGGTGACTAAAACCCCCCAAGTCTGGGTCCCTATAACCCAAACAGGGCAGCTGTGGGGCATCCGGAAAGGCAACCAACAGAGCGCATTGCAGCAACCTAAACCTCGCATGCAACGCGGAAGCTCCCTGCATCTAAATATCAGTAATAGTGGACTGGGTGAACAGGAGTACAAGCAAGAAACACCAATTGCAAGACTCCGGATCAAAGGTGTCATCAACCCAACAGGCAGAATGGCAGAGGCAAATGCGGTGAATGTCACTCTGAGACAAGGGGACAGAGCAACCTTCAAACTCGCACGAAGCGAGGTGAGACTCAAAGGTCTCCTCTATCGGACCAATGAACCCCAAAAGCGAGGTTCCCAGGGCCCTCAGGCCGACTGCTAAGAGAAGCCCAGGCAAGATACTGGTAACCAGTTATCACAGAGCTACCAGGCAAACAAACTAAAAGCTGAACCCCAGCGATGTGTGCAATCACGGGGACCTAGCGGAGGGCCACCAAAATCATACAAAGAGGTCCTACAGCCACACCAAGCATAAGAAAAGAAAATAAACACCCTGCAAAAGCACAACGTCTCCAGGAGGAACGGAATCGGTCGCTATATGAATTACAAGACTGCTGCACAGTACAGTACCTTGCGCTCCTGCCAGCGACAATGCTACCTCCTACCCAAGGCCAAACAGGGATGGGAAAAAACCACAGCTACCCCAAGGACGGGATATCACCAAGCAGCAAAAGAACCCTGCGGAAGTAGCCCCCGAACAGTTTGTGGAAGGTATTCCCAAACTGCAAGGGCAGTACTTACAGGGAACCTAGGGAAGGAAATCCTAGGCACATGCAACCCTAGTACTTCTGGAATAACACCTGACTCGCACACCACCACACCGCAGCACATCACCACAAAGCACAGCACTGCTCAAGGATTGGAGCCAGAGTCGATCGACCATCACCTAATACAACAGCCTCAGAACTGGGGTTGGCTAGCCGGCACAGGCGATCTGGGACCCCTTCCCCCCTTCCCCCTCCCAGGGAGGGGAAAGTTGCACAAACATCGGCACGGTGGCTGTGGTGATGTCATACTTGTTTGCTTGTTTACTGATTGGGAATTCTGTTTGCTCGTTCGGCTTTTGGTTAGCAATTTTTCACCATCCGTAGTTTTTTGGGGATTCCTACCTTTCTGGGTGCTTGACCTAGTAGATGGCAGAATTAGACTTCTAACCACACGGGGGTGTCTATAGGCCATTGCTCCTTGTGCCTCTCTGAGGGGGCCAGGTTCTGGTGCTGGTCCCCCAGTAGGCTTAGAATTCCGTCAATTGACTGTTGCCACGGTCTAATATTCACACATCAGCTCGGTATAGCTCCGGGGAGCAGAAGGGGTGCTCCACAGAAAAAATACTGTGCTAACCAGTATGATACATAGCACTTGGAGGGCATATAAGAACAAGGAACTGGGATAGAATAGAAGGTAAGGAATGGTGCCCAACTACTTGGGCTGCTGGGAATCAAATGCCGACCTGCAAGAAGCGAGACCAATTATAAACTATCATCATTTACCATTACAGTACTGTATTATTAAAGTGATACACAAGTTTTCTTCTTATGATAACTTGTTCACTGGCAACAGCATATTAAAAAAAAATTATTTTGGCTTATGTTACATCTGACAAGACAGTACATACAAAGAGCAAACCATGACTAACCTTAAAAGAGAGTTCATATTGTTCACCTCCCCATATGTCTAGCCCAGGATCATAACCTCCAAGATCCCAGAAAAACTTACTGCTAATGGCAAACAGACCACCTGCCATAACTGGGCTCCTGAAAAACAAAAAATTTAAGCTAACTCAGAGTAATTTTTCTTAATTCTATTTTCTACCATAGATTTGGCCATTCATCTTAAGTGTTAACCAGCATGTGTGTACATTTTTTCTGTCCTCTACAGACAGGGTTCGAAATGTGTTGTACATCATATAGAGTATTGAGTTATTGACTTCTCGATCACAGCGGGTGATTGTAATGCTTTTACAATGCTAGTCAGCATACATAGATTGTCTGTCTTACACAGATAAAATCAGATTGTTTGACTGATGAAGATTAAACAACCCAAAGGACAGCATGAGAATAAATAGCCGAATGAACACACACACACACACACATGCAATTACACACAATCAAAATAAGATTGAGGGCAGTAATCAGAGACAATGTATCTGACTGGAGGAGTGTTACTAGCAGAGTACCACAGGGTTCAGTTCTTGCACCAGTAATGTTCATCGTCTACATAAACGAGCTACCTGAGCGAATACAGAATTATATGAACATGTTTGAAGATGATGCTAAGATATTGGGGAAGATAGGAGGTGCAGATGACTGTCATGCCCTTCAAATTGGTCTAGATAAAATAAGTGCTTGGAGCAACAATTGGCATATGTAATTCAATGTGAATAAATGCCATGTTATGGAATGTAGAATCGGCTAAAATAGACCACATACGACTTACAAATTATGTGGAAAGGAATTACAGAACTCTAATAAAGAACGAGAATTAGGGGTGGTTTGGGATAGTAAGCTGTTTCCAGAGGAACACACAAAGAACACTGAGAAGAGCGTATCTGTCGCTTTCCAACTTCAGACTTGCTTTTAATTATATGGATGGTGAAATGCTGAAGAAGCTGTTCATGACTTCATGAGACCAAAATTGGAATATGCATCAGTTGTATGGTGCCCACATCTAAAGAAGCACATAAGGAAACTGGAAAAGGTGCAAAGCATGCTGCAAAATGACTTCTGGAACCGAGAAACACGAGTTAAGAGGAGAGACTAGAGGTGTTAAACATGCCAAAACTAGAATATAGAAGAAAAAGAGGTGATATGATCACCACCTACAAAATACTAACATGAATAATTCAGACCAAATTGACAAAGAGGAATTCCTTAACTAGCAACTTAGTGAACAAGAGGACACAGATTCAAGCTAAGGAAACAAAGGTGCCAAAAAAATATTAGAAAGTTTTTTTTTGCAAACAGAGTGGTAGACAGTTGGACCAAGCTAAGTGAGAAGGTGGTGGAGGCCAAAACCATTGGTAGTTTCAAAGTGTTATACGACAAAGAGTACTGGGAAGACGGGACACCACGAGAGTAGCTCTCATCCTGTAACTACACTTAGGTAATTACACACAGAGATGTATTCACCTTCATATAGTGCAGTGGGTTATTAAGCACTCAACCACAGGTGAACAGTGAGTAAATAAAAAGTAAATAACTTCAATGCAAAATTCACCATTATCACTACCCTGTTTCCACTTTCATAAGGTAGGGAGGCATCAAAAAAGAACTTGAAGAGCAAAAAAAAAACCCAGCGTTGAATGTAATGAAACGCCATTTTCTGGGTGAGACCCGGAGGCTACCCGGAGCTTTACCGGATGATATGCTAATGTCAGACTTTGGCATCAGTCATGTGTATGGAGTTCTAGGGCTACCGGGGACCACGAGCCAGAACCTGGCCCCCTCAGAGAGGCAAGGGGAGCAATGGCCTATAGAAACCCCCGTGTGGTTGGAAGCATTCTATGTCTGCCATAGACCGGGTCAAGCATCCAGAAAGGTAAGCATTCCAAAACAAACCCCTATTCTGGTGAAAATTGCTACCTAAAGCCGAACTAGTGGATAGAACTCTTCAACAGAAAACAAGGAAACTAGTATGACGTCATACGTCACCGCGCCGCTGTCTGCGCAGCTCCCCCCTCCCCGGGAGGGGGAAGGGGGAGCCCCAGACCTCCCACGCCGGCTATCCACCCATCAGTTCTGAGGCTGGATGTCAAAACACGCGAAAAACGCCGACCGGAGGGAGGGAGGGTTGCCGGGGAGCCTCCGGGTCTCACCCAGAAAATGGCGTTTCATTACATTCAACGCTGGTTTTCTGGGGGGAGCCCCGTCGGCTCCCCGGAGCTAACTACCCACAGAGGAAGGTCAAAGGGACAGAACCGGGAGGCGGACACCACGCACCCCCCAAGGAGGCGAGACAACCGGCAGCAAACGCCAACCCAAGGTACCACAGCCCCGAAAATCCCGGGAACAACACAAGAACCACGAGCAGCAAGGCCCCTGCACGAACACCAAAAATCCATGCCCGAAAGACTGCAAGGCCACGTCGCCCAGATGGCAGCGAGAGCAGCGAAGCCACGAACGCCACAGGCATGAGGGAAGAACACAGGCAGCTTAGCCGCAAGAACACGGCTGACCACCCGGGACACTATCACCCGCGAACCGGGAAGAACAGAACCGGATCAATGCAAAACGCGCTCCGGACCCAAACGCCAGCGGAGGGCCGCCACTGAACACAAAAACGACACACCCCCGGCCCAACCAACGAAGCAGTAACAAACCCTGGACCCCTCCAGAATGCAGCAGCCCCACTCCGCGCCAGAAAAGATGGAGATTGCTGCCACCAAACAACCAAAACGCTAAAACCGAAGGAGCAAGAAAACTGAAGAGACTCGACCCCCAGAGGCAAAGGCACAAAGGAAAGAGCCGACGAAAAAATACACCGGAACCGAAGGGGCACTACCAACCGAGGAGAAGACAGAGCACGCTGACCAGAGACCAGGATGGTGCAAGCGGCACACGAACAGGCCGGAGGTGAAACGACGCACGAGACAGCTTACTAACGGTGCAGAAGCAACACCAAGACCGAAAGCAAGCTGAAGCAGCTCCGCCAGCGCCGCACGAAAAGAGGCGACAGTATGTGGCAAGACGACGGCCCCCAACCCCCACCAGAAAACCAAGCCGAGAGTAACCAAGCTAACAAGAGTAACCACCTAAGAAGGGACAGGAAAAGGAAGGACCGCCAAAATACCCCATACTGCCGCCAAGAGAAGCACGCAGGTGGGACACCTACCACGAAGCCACCCGACCACCAACCGGAGGCGAGACCGCGAGGCAGAACATAAGCAGCCCCGACAAGGCCCCTCCGAGCCCAGGAAAAAGGAGGAGCCGAGGGAAGATCTCGGGCGCGACCACCGAAACCCAGGCGGCACAAGGAGATGGAACGTCTGCCGAACAGAAAAACTCCCCAAAGCATGCAAGCCCGCCAGGAGTTCAGAAACGACAGGTCCGACGCGAGACATCGCAAGACCCCAAAAAAAAAAAAAAACGGCAGGGCAAGCTAGGAAACCAAAGAAGGCGGAAGGGTCGCCGCCAGAACAGTACAGTACCTGAACCAAGGGGTACGAACAACTGCAATAGACCGAGACAAAGAAGCACATCACAGGACACAGGCTGACCAACGCCTAAGAACACACGCAGAATATCCCTGCTGCAGAGGAGGCAGGAAGAAAGAGCAGAAGCACAAAAACCCCAGGAGAACAACCAGGGGTGGACAATCAGGCAGGGACAGAAAAACCCCCACGCAATCCCCAGGCACAAAACGGCAGCAAAGTGCCACTCCACAACCGGACACAGGAACAAGGACACGCCACCGTGAAACACGATACCAATGCACACGTGCAGCAGCAGCAACAGGCACCACTGCAACATGCAACATGTAAATAGCAACTCCCTTCTGCAAAGGCAGAGAACGGAGCAGGCAGACCCCAGACAGGGCCAACGGAGACACGACAAAACCCTGCAGGCCCAGAAACCTGCACCAGGCGACCGACGGTGGAGAAACCCCGCTCGATACCTGCTGGATGAGGTACTGGGAGCTCTTTTACACCTGAAGCCCGGCCCAAGGCCAGGCTAGACCGGCCAGAGGGTGGCCCACCAGGCAGCTGCTAGGAGCAGTCCACCGGCCCACATACCCCCACAACCAGGACGGGCCGGAACTGCCATACGAAAACAGGCTAGTGCGCCCTGGAAGTCCACGGACGAACCAGCAAGAAGGCTTATGCTCGCAAGTAGGTCGTGTAACAAGCACAGACCTCTGATGGTAATACAGTGTTCCCCAAATGTGCCAATAGCACCACTGCACTCCACTAGTACTATCCCGCCTATCTGGTAGAGACCCAAGAGCCAGAGCTCAAATCCTGCAAGCACAGCCAGGAGCCTTACCAGGTGAGTACAGAACCAACCCTACAACCCCCACACCTCACAACATTAAAAGGAGGGTCCCCTGAATGACTCCAGCATGGGTTGGACATGCACAAAAGGGGGACAGGAAGGGTTGAAAAAAGGGACAGTCACTAGTGTGCGAACGGTCTCAGTCATACAAAAATATACCTAAATAAAGACAGGTATATAAACAACTCCGCATCCAGCGCCCGGCCAAAAGACGCCAGACCGCAGAAACTCACCTGGCGAATGGTAGCACGAACTTGACACGACTCAACCGTGCCCAGAAGAACCTGGGAGCACCGCCAGGTGAAGACGCCAGAGCCGGACCCTGCTGGACCCGCAGGAGAGCAGGGAAAGGCGAAGGAGGCGGTTCACACTCATGACAGGGAAAACCGCGGTGTCCTCCCCACAACTGGGAACCAGGACACCCCCGGCGCGAAGGGGCACATACCGCAGCCAGGGAGAAGAACGAGAGGCGAAGCACTGTAGCAAAAAGGGCGCAAAACACCAGCACTGAAACACCGCCCAGACCAAAACAAACTCCACGGCACATGCGCATAACACGCTGGCTGAACCGCACACCCTCCCTGCGGGAAGGCGCCAGCCAGGACTACTGCACGAGAAAAGTAGCCAAAAGAGGAAGCAGGAACAATAAAACCGGCCAAAGAAGCAAAGAGCCCAAAAAGGAACCCAACCGGGCGAGAAGCAGCCCAACCGGGCGACAAGCAGCCCAACCGGGCGACAAGCAGCCCAACCGGGCGACAAGCAGC